TGCCCTTTGCTCCATCTTCTGTACCGCTGCCACGTGCCAGAGATACGGGCTCCATGGAAACGGCTAACAAACAGCAATCAACATGGCCGCACAGTGGTTTATATACAGTGTTCAGTCTCACAACTATTCTATAACTGCTCAGTAACTCTGACCCTCATTAACTCTGCCGCTGTGCAGCAACATCTTTGTTTTTGTCTCATGCTTTCATTTTCTTGCCCCCACATTCTAATACTTTCTGAACAAAACAATAAACCCAAATTCTACTGAGAATTTTTAAGGTTTGTTGTAATAAAAGCTGCAAACAATGATGGCACACCATTTTGTGGGAATGCTGAAAAGTTGAAAACAGCTCTTTAAGCCTTCTGAGATTCCTTTTATTCATTTTCTTGTTTTTTAGATGGCAAAGAGCTGAGTTGCTAATGCCTTAATGTCTAGAACACGTTACAAGGGGGAACTGGGCCGTGGTTGGTTTGCTGAATTGGCCCATTGAAGCAACACTTAGCAAAAGCACTTCTCCTGCCAAAAGACCTTTATCCACATGTCAACCAACGCCATTCCACTTCCAGAAATGTATCTCATTATAATGCTCTATATGGGAAATTACATTCATTCTTTCAAACAGAGCCTCGTCTAACACACTTCCCCTTGTCCTCCCCTATGGGTGAGTGGGTTTTGCTCAGTGGTCAACCCAGCAGAACAATGTATGGAGGAGGATGCAAAAAAGGCTGTATCTGCCCGTTTGCACCCTCAGTCCTCCACAGCAGAGCAGGAAACTAGGATATGTCTTACTAAACCTGTCGTTAGGTGCCGTCTCAAAGAGCTCGGTGTGTTATACCTTGGCGTCAGAAAGACACTGTTCACATTATTCTAGGTCTTGCTTTGGGACGGTGGAAAATTCCCCCCAGTTTGAGTTATGCTTTCTTTGGCACCCCTGGACCACGGGCCAAAGCATATTCATCAGAAACCTGACAGTTTCACCTTATTCCAGGAAACGAGAAGGGACTGCTCTGTTGCTGCATGTAGTGTTGGACCATTCTGAGGGTTATGTAGTGTTAAAGTGGTGCCTGAAAGGTTCTTCTTTGATTGCTATTGTGTAGCATGTTCTTAAAAGCTAGTACAACTTCCGTCCATTTTGTTATCTACTTATTTGCCACATGATTACCTTTTTCTATGGATTTTGTGTGTTCATTTTTTAATTTGAATTCCAAATGAAAAACAAAGCTGTTGAAATCCTGAATTATATCCCACCAGTATCATTATAAGGGGGATATGTTGTATTTTCCACTCACCAATGTGATCTGTTCTGCATGACTAATCCAGTCTTTATGAAACACAGCACCTACTCCAGACAAAAACACCGGCCTTGAAGAAAAATATCTTCCAGAGGATTTTTCATCCTGCTCATTGGTGTTTGCTTGGATTAATCTCCAGGAGGTTTTCATGAAACAGAGAAAAAATAAACCTTCTTCTCCTGTCTAGGTGCTCCATACCATCTGACTGCTTGTCTCCTGTGCTCCGTGTGGGCTGTAATAACAGATAAGTCATGAACATGGAAAAAGAAAGTCTCAACTTCAACACTTCTTCCTCGTTTTGTGTCACACAGCAGTAAGATGTACCAAAACCACACCACCTTTACACTTAAAACCATTATTTTTCACTTCTCACTATCCCATGGGAAGTAAGTGAAGAAAGGCACTGCAAAAAGTCATGTAATGACTTTCTCCAAAGCCTGCAGGTAAATTGAATTTATGCACATTTTCAGAGCAACTAAACATGGCAATGTGGCAAAACAACAGGCCCAGTGCTAAATGAGCTAAACTGCTAAACTACATCATGTCTTTGTGCTTTTGTTCATTATACATTATGCGCATGGTGTTCCTGCCTTCGGAAAGGGAACATCAGAGTTCTGGAGGATAGAGCCCTGTTTTCTATCTCATAAACCAGGGCTATTTTCACCCATACAGCTGTATAAAGAAGCTCGGTTGCTACTGGCATTCTCTGCTTTTTACTGGGAGATTCTGAGATGATGTTTAGATCATTGGTGTAGGAGCAGAGCGCATTAGAAATGGGTTAGAAGTAGATTCCTAAAGTTCTTGCTCAAAAGGAAAAATTGGAGAGGAGCTTTTTGTGGCCTTGGCATTTAAGGAGTTTAACAACAGTCCAAAGAGATCCCTTCCATTCTTCCTCTCTGGATGTATTATATAGACTTGCAGAAGTGTTAAATGTGGATGTCCTAATAAAACGTATAGTAGACACAGAATGAGATTTTTATGTCAAAACTGAATTGAAATAATGATCCCATTTTAAGGAGTTTTCTTCACTAAATTGATGCAGTATATGTATAAACACTGGTAACATTTCAAAATGTTATGTTCAGTCCCCTATCCAAACAGCCCATATATGCAAATTGAGATGCATAATTTAATTAGTTGTTTTTTATGATATGATGAAAGCAAGGCCATTTACATATATTCATCTATAGCTATTTAGCTACAGCAATTTAGCTCCACCCATTCACAGTGAAGTCATGTTCACACTGAAGATTCAGCTGGACTGCTTGTTTGAATAAATCTGTCTTAAAAGAACATTAACAAAAGATGTAGAGTATGGGTTCATATATTGTCACTGACTAACATTTGTCCCTACAACTCCTGTTCTAACAGTTGTGAACTATTATCAGGCTCACAGCAGCCCAGTTAAAACTAGAAGTAATATACAAATGTGTTGATTTAATAAATACATCATGTAGCGATTAAGGCTCTGCTGTCTCAAAACTAGCTAATTGGATCTTTTATGGCCATTCTTGAGTTGAGTTGACAAAAAGTGCAAATAAGGAAAAGGAAAGTTGTGTTGATAGTGTTTAGTCTGTGTCCAGCACAAGTTTATTAATCTTGGTTTGCATTCACTAACTGCATATAAACGACTCTAAAAACAGATAGCGTGTTTATACACATTTAAGCCTGAAGTATGAGCTAAATCCTCAGTAAAACCTCTAATATCATTCGAAAGCATATGCTGTAGAGTATGCCTCAGAACAGACTAACACTGTCATTACGCTAGTGACGCATCACTGAGGGCACTAACACGGTCATTAGTGCAGCTGTAAGGTTTCTAGTAGAGGCTCTGAGCCAGGGTCAGTGGGTTGATTTGTAGCTACACCGAGTCAAACTCTTTTTTCACGGGAATGGCAAAATATGCACATTTCTGTTGGTAAATATAGAGCCCTCACATCTGCTTTGGTCAGACACACACAGCTTCAGCGCAAAATGCTTCGGATGACCCACTGTGTTTATGGATACACTGAGGTTTCTTTAAATAAAAGAAATGTAACCGCATCTCTGCCAAACAATGCAGAAAATACCCAAGTAATGATTTACACATGACATGAGCTTTCAAACACCAGAAACAAGCAGATGGAATGTAGCATGAAGAGAACGACTGAGCAGATGCCATGTTTACTTCTGTACTGATTGTCCAGAGGCTTTAAGCCGGACCACAACCAGCCAATAGCATTAATGTACAAAACACTGGGGTTTGGGCATTGACTTTAGAGTTCTGTCACACTGAATGAGCAAACAAAATAAATGTTAGGAAACTAAACAAACTTTTCATGTACAACACCTAGTTTTAGCATGAGCAAAGAAAAAATGCAACAGGACATGTTCTGATTGGTCTAAGGCAAGGGTGCTCAAACTTTTTGCCTGTGGGACCAAAGTGCAATTCTTATGGTGGGCCAAGGGCCAAAACGCCAAAACACTATACAAATAAAGAAGGTAGGTAGGGTTCAAATTGAGCTTTTACATATATATTTTATAACATTACACTATTTTGTCACATAAACACTTTATGAAAGGAAAATAAGCATTGAAAGGTTAGATGGTATAAAAAAATGTTTTCTTATTGGGTGATGGGTGGGGTTTCTTTCTTTATGAGCCTACGTTGCCGTCGGGCCACACTTTGGACAGCCTGGTCTAAAGTGATTAAGTTTTATATTAGCTTAAAGGAACATCTGTCCTATTTGATTATTATTTATTTATTTTTGCTTAGAAGTACATTTCATGCTTACAAAAAATAGAGTAGTAGTCCATATGTCCATATGTATATGACCAAAAAGATTAGATATAATATGATAACTTATAAAAATGTAACTTTTTAGCCATATGGTTCAATCAGTTTGAAAAATGTCTTCAGATATGTGCTCAGACATGCTCATAGACCAAAGATAATAGTAAAAAGACAGACATGGACGTTAATTGGTTAACATTTCATTCTTTTGGGTGCAAACAATTGGGATTATGACTGGCATTATAATGTAACCTTTAAGCAATTGACCGCAGCTTTCTAGTATTATTAAAGACATATTTTGATCAGATAAATATGATGAATGCTCCGAAAGAAGATGAGAGACAGGAATGTTAAACAGATGCCAACCTAGGTTGATTACATTTGTCTGGTTTTACAACTGTTTTAACATTGTTGGATTGACACCCCTTTATTATCACTCTTTTTGCATGTAATGACTAGAGATCTCATTCTTTGTACTGGAAAATGTTTGCCTTTGGGCAGTTAGCTTTTACGATTCTAACCCCAACCACAGAGTATGGCCCTTTGCGGGAGTCCACGCAGTTTATTTATGGCCTGTCCTATGCACTTGCATTGCCTCACTGGAATGCAGAGAATGCCTCTTCTCTCTCTGTCCCTGCAACATGCAACAAATGGCGCAGGCTTATCACTGTAGAAATGATGCAGTGTTCAGCCTCCTCTGAGCCCACTGCAGGGCAGTCAGGGGGATTAGAAGAATGCCAGAGGCGAGAGACAAAGAAGGTTACTCTATTTTTGATCTCTGACTGCCTGATACTCCGTTAGCCAAGGAGTCCATCTTCCAAGATTTCTTGGACTAAATGGAAAATATCGCTGTGGAGGATCTCACTCTTATGAATTTGTATAGAAGAAAGCACAATTCCCAACAGTTACAGCATGGGAAGTATCAAAAAGAAATATTTATTCATTTACTCATTTATTTCATATTTAGCTCCACACAGTAAAAACATAGGTATATGCTTTGATGCTTGCTTAGCATGGTTAATGAATAGTCAGTATAAATATATCTGTACATTGAGTTTTGTGATGCAGGCTAAGCTTGGAAATATTTCACACAGCTGTACATATGTCTCATAGAGAAATATTATTACTTCGATTATCGTAATACATTGTGCATTAGTGAACAACAGCATACACTAAAATGAACCTCCTTTATTTACACCTATGATGGAACTGGTATTTAAGCACATCAAACTCTTGATCTAACAGAGACAGAAAAGGCACAATGGCAGGTGTGTAATTTGCCTTAGTTTGATAAAGCATGCATCTCCCATGCCCTGCACTACAAGAGAAACAAACAATGGGTAAGCCAAGAAGGACAAAGCTGAGGATAAAACATACTTAGAGAAATATAGAAGGGTTTGCCTCTTCAGTTCATTTCCAACACTGAACACCTATACGGCACACCATACGTGTTGATTTGACTGGCAAGTCTCTCATTTCCTCTTCATACTTCTTTCAGTAGCACTGTTCAAGGCTCGGGCTTACTCATGATATTGAGTACTTCATCCAGGATGGAGGGGCCCAGGTCCAGTTCAAGGGAGAGCAGTGACCCATTGACCTGGGTAACAGACTCCTGAGAAAGGCTCTTGCTTTTCGAGAGCTCAAAGTCAAAGTCACAGATGCGGCCCTCTTCTACGCCACTATCTCTATCTGCCCAATCTCCACTGATGCTGGCCAGCTCTTTTTCATACTGAAAGATTGTGTCATTGTTGCTGTGATTGTATCCATTGCTGCAGCTGCTGCTGCTTTTGCAGCTGCCAGTTCCATTACTGTTGCCGTTTTCGTTGCTGTTGCCATTGATGAAGAATGTCGCTAATGGCTTCTCAGTGTTCTCATTCTTAATGTTGTGCATATTGTTGTGATTGGGTGTCTTATTTGCTGGTGGCTTCTCCACAAGATTGATAGAGAATGTGGGTTTTTCACTGATCTCCTCTGGAACGGGACTGGGGTCACGTCTGAAGATGGTAATGGACTGAAGAAGGGTCTCCATTTGAAGGATGTCCAGGTCATCTGTTTCCTCTGAGCTGGCAGGAGGAGTGGGAGGTCCAGCCAGGTCATCCAGAGGGTCCCGGGTCATGGGAAAGATGGTGGTGGAGATAAGTGGCAGGGTCAGAGCTTGGCTGCCCCCGATGGTCGGGAGGGAGATGGCGTTCTTCAGGATGGGTGAAGGAGTCTCTATAAAGGAGGCATCGGATGCGCTGTTAGCTCGCATGAACTCGCCGTGGGTGCCATACGGAGGTCGGATCATGCCACCCTTCCCAGGAAGAAGCTCAAACTTGCCCTGCAGGAAGGACATGTCGCCAAAGGCGTCACACTCACCCCCTTTTCCGATGTGGATGGTGTGGCGAAAGTCTCCCAGCGGAGGGCTGATCATGTCTGGGGACAGAATGTCTCTTAGGCGACATTTCTTCCCTTTCTTGGTGTTGTTAGATTTCAGGTAGATGGGTGTTTTGGCTGGCATCTCTGTCTCACAACAGCGAATCCGTGACACAAGAGAAGAGGAAGAGAAATGTTTCTGAACCCTAAGACCCTGTGTTGCACAATGAATGCTGATCTGAGTTCCTCTCAGGAAAGGTCAGGAGTTACATTCTCAAAGACCGGTTGGTTTTAGGTCTGCAGAGAAATTGTCATCAATCCTCACTGGGCTTGTCAGGATGTTCTGGTCCTAATGGCAGTTGTTCTTTACCTAAAGAGAGAAAGAAGACATCTTGTCATAAAGTCCAGATATTCCAACTTGATTATGGATGCTTTTTTCTTTCTGTGAATCAGCATACTTGTACACAGTCAACAAAAGGTACTGTAAATGTACATTTTTGTTCATCAGGGTACAAATAATGTAAATATACCCTCAAAGGAATAATTATGTTCTTTAAGGTCTACCCTGTGTACCTTAAATGAGTTTTAAAGCTACACTACTTTCACCTCTCCAGGGGAAAAGTATAAATCTCTACCTTTTTGTAACTAAGCTGTTTTAAAATTAAAAAAAAACTTGGAATAAAGACAGAGTGTATAGACTCAATGCAAATCAACAACAAAAAAAAAGCCTTTTTGGAGATGAAACCCCAGTGATGTGACATTGACAGTTTAGTATATTTTTTATTGAGAGTGTATTTTATGTAAGACATTTTAAATCTTTTGGTAACACTTTATTTGGACAGTCCACTTTAATTCACTTTCAAGTTACATTCAACAAAATATCTACTAAATTGACCATAATTTTCTTTAACTCTAAACCTGCTCTAATCCTAACCCTGACTTCAACCCAAAACCTAAACCCAACCCTGGTCCTAGCCTTAACCCTGGTCCAAATCCTAACCCTAACCCCACCATTGTTTAGAATCCACTGAGTTTCAACAGATAGTTTGTTAACAATTTGAACATCTGTAGATAATCTATGGGGGACTCTAGTGAACTAACCAAATAAAGTGAGACCAATTCTTTTTGCTGTATATCAGACAACACAAATGTTGTTTTTTTTAAAGATCAGTGAAGTATTGCTAAAACCATAACCATAACCACACATACAGTCAACAAAGAGCCATATCTCTTCCTGTAGATGCTGTTGTCTTTCTTGTACCAAAGGATCTTTACAGTCCTAGCAAAGGAGATCTACTGGGTGTCACATGATTTATGAAGGATGTGATTTTTTTTGTTGAACCCATTAAATTAGCTATAGGTGGTTATCACATGGGGCGGCAAGGTGGTGCAGTGGGTAGTGTTGTCGCCTCACAGCAAGAAGGGCCAGGGTTTGATTCCCAGCCGGGTGACCAGGGTACTTTCTGTGTGGAGTTCTCTCCGTGTCTACGTGGGTTTCCTCTGGGTACTCCAGTTTCCTCCCACAGTCCAAAGACATGCAGTCAGGCCAACTGGACACGCTAAATTGCCCCTAGGTGTGAATATGTGTGTGTGATTGTGAGTGTGGATGTATTTGTCTGTCTGTCTGCCCTGCGATGGACTGGCGACCTGTCCAGGGTGTATCTCAGTGTTTTAAGTTGTCTCAGACCACTGACTCAAGTACGACAAATAACCTCAGACCACTCTGAAATGACCCACAAACGGACCAAACACAGACCACCTTCACTTCCATTTGTGGTTCGTTTTTGTGGTCTGGTTGATTCGTGCCTCAGTGAAACAAAGTGTCCCCAGTCCCCAGGTGTGGTTTACCTATTAGAGAAAATATATATAATTTAAAATTTAGAAAAAGCCTATTCACATCAGAGAAAAAATCCAGTGAAAAATCTCCAGTTTCTGGTCTTGTTTGCAACTGTACTCTTCTGGTGCACATGATCATTGCATGGCTCACACTACAGCAGCCAAGGCTGAGGTCCAGAGATGAAATCAAACCAGTCTGATATCCTCCCCAGAGTCAGGCAAGGACCACAAATGTCTCTGATCATCTAATGTTTGATGATTGTCAGTGATGAATGCACACTTCTGTCTTTAGTGATGTCCTTGTTATGTTTGTGACTTGAAAATTCTGGCTAAAATTCTTTGTTGTGTGCTTACCCTAAGACACGGCATGTGGAACAATCATTGCTGACGTTTCACACTGCATTCCATTCAGGCTTCACCCAATACACCCTTGCCCAGTCTTGACAGATTTATGGACCGTTCTTCCCAGTCAGCATCGCTGATCTGTCGCTGGTGATGTACAACTCCTGTCATGCAACCTCCCAATAAAGGTATCACTTTACCCTACATGGACCTACAGCCGTATCTGCACATAGAGCATCTGGAGAGAGGGAGACTAGCGGGATGGACAGCAGATGATGGTCCTAAATAGAAGAGTCGCTAGCATACCGATTTTGGACCTGCTATTCCAGACCTTAACAATTACGAGAAAGGTTGTAGCAACCAGTCCAAGATCAGAATAAAACACCAAGATGAAGTGAAAGTTGAGGGGCCCAAGCTGTAGCTGGCTCAAAGCCAGACTGGCTCCTGTTTAGTATGTGCTAATACGGACCAGCTGGATACCACATTGGTCCGAGAGAGACGACGGGGCTTTAGCGGGATCAGTGTGAGAAGGACTCAAGGGAGAGAGATACTGCACTGCTATGCAGAGAGCACGTGAGAGAGACCTACTATGATTTTAACTAGGCTTAATTTCATATTTTTATGAACATCTGTGACGTCTCCTATTGTTTTCACATTCATCCTGAAGTGCTTTTACCGCCGGCCAAAGGAAAGGTTTTCTGGACAAAACTGATACTTAAGGGCAAATACACGATGATGAAGCACAGCGCTTGAGAGGATTTGAAGCGATAAGGAGAAAGTTATAGAGGTTAGGATAGTGAAAGTAGAAAGAGCTTAAGAGAGGGGAGGGCAGGAGAGAGAGAGAGCAAGAGAGAGAGGCAGAGGCAGAATGCTTGCCCATTTATAGACATATTTACTTTTGAGAGGTCTCTAAGCACTGACCCTCACCGACAAGACTGCAAACTATCACAAAAGCAGTGGCTGGGCCAAGTCCACCCCAATAAGTACGACTGAAAAAACATCCACATTCCTGCAGCAGCCACTGCCATCAGGACCTCACTCCGAAAAGCACCCCAAGCCTTCAGGCGCTTTGAGCAGATAACACTGACCAGATAAACTGTGTCTGTCAGCAGGGTGCCACAAAGCACCAGTGCAGTGCAGCCCATCAGACCTTGACCTCATATAGCACATTATCGTTTGAACCAGAAGTGATCCTTGAGTCATAGTCATACTTGAATAAGAATAGTGTTACTTCAGAGAGTACTAACTCAGCCAGAGGTAAAAGTAAACTAAACACAGCCAAAATGCCTGAAAAACACCCTGAGCAGGAGTAATACATAGCATCTATCTGCATAGGAACTGGTGTTGTTTGCTCCTATTCTTCTATTTTTAGGTTATTTTCCTCATGAATAAACTTTTTTGTTTTTGTTTCTTATTTAAACACACAAATCTAGAACTACAAATCCATCAAAATGTTAAAGCCCCAAATCATGGAAAACTACATTTTGCTTGCTCCTTTTTTAACAAAAGACTTTGATGTAGAATGTGAACATTGTTAAAGTTTAAAAAGTTGTGGCACGTTTTATTTTTATATTTACAATATAAAAAAGCAAATAAATATAAATTCTGCACTAAAATTTGCAGAAAAGTGTATTTAAGTTCCCTGTAGAGGATGTGTTAACTTATATTCACTTAGAAAATCAATAAAACGTCATTTTACTTGAGTGTTCAAACTTTTGCATATGACTGTATTTGCACATTCAGCCTACAGCAGTTGATCCCTGCTCAGGGGGAGAGGGAAGGACGTGGAGTCCCCGCTCAAGTCATAAGGAGTGTTTCAACCAGGGCTGATTTTTGAATGAAGCACAACAGAGGGAAGCCAATCAGAACAGAGATCATCTACATATATCGATCTTAAAAGCAACAAAAAGTAACAAAAAGTAAAAAAGTAACAAAAACAGTCTGTTTAATTCTAAGGGATAAATATAAATTGGAAAACGTTCATGTTAAGATTAATTGACTTTTTGGTTTATAAGCCCACACAAACATCATCAGTAGGAAAAATGTAGGGAAAAAATAGAATAAAGGGCTTTTAAGTACATGTAACTGAGTAAATGAGCAAGTTCCTGCACACCTCTGAACCGTTTGTGTATGCAATTGCCAAGAGATGAAAAACTGAGGAACTGTGTCCCCCAGAATAAACGACAAGACTAAAAGACTTTTCTGTTGTTGTCTCTGAATACAGCAAGAGGCAGCCACTGAGGACGCTGTTTACAAAACAGCAGAAATTCCATTTCCTCAGGATACATGACTCTCCTTCAGTAAAATGCTAACAAATTACAGAGGGGGTAAACAGTATCAAAGCTAACACGGACACGGGCTGGGGTACAGTAAGCTCGTGACAGTGTACGGGAGAGAATGGCCTCTAGACAATGATGTAGTCTGTTCCTACTAACATAGCCTGAATGACTGACATTGTTTTGTGCAGCCTACTGTGTGTGTGTGTGTGTGTGTGTGTGTGTGTGTGTGTGTGTGTGTGTGTGTGTTTGAATATGTGTGTTCTCTTTTAGCAGCCGCCCTAAGGGCAATGGGTCCACATGTCTTTAAAGGCATTTTTAGATACTGATGCATTTCAACACAAATAGCTTAAACCTCACTTGACTAGCACCCCAAGAGCTATATATAGTAACTCTAAGCACTGTGTGCATGTGTGAGGAAACAGAAATAGGAGGACTGTATGCTAGTGTGTCAGTTGTCCGAGCCTAAAATGGGTGGATTAGACTATAAGACAGTATGAAAGTGTGGGTGGAGCAATTTTATGCATCTGTGTCCTTAAATTGTAAAAGCAGTGAGATGGGAAAAAAGCAAGAAACACTGCAGTGCTTGGGGAGGTGCAGCTAAAAGAGCTAAACTCTGCATCCCAATTATTCCAGAGCTTCACTGCCATCCTCATCTCTTTTTGCTTGTTTATCTCTATTTCGTCAGACTCTTCTCCTTCTATCCTGTCCTCTCCATCTTGCTCAGCCTCCTCTATCATCCCATTCCAACCAACTCCCTCGTTCCACTCTGTTTCAGTGGCTCTTAGAGGCTTGACCTTGGCTGCTAATGCGCACACAGCAGGAAGCAGGTTGGATTCACACCACCATTTCAGTCCCACCCCTCTGATCTGCATCCATATTCTCCTCTAATAGAGAAACTGTGTGAGTGTGACTATGTATGTGTGCATGTGTGTGTGCGTGTGAGAGAGAGAGAGAGAGAGAGAGAGTGAAAGAGAGAGAGAGTAAGCCATGTCTGCAGTCCTGCAACCGAACGGAAGGTCATTGCAAATGACAGGACTAGCCTGGCCCAATTATTGATTATCTGTAGGCCTTCACATCCTGCAAGACTACCTGCTGTGGCAAGTCAAACAAATCATTTGCACCCACTCTCTGGTGATCAAAAATATGCATCTAGTGAGTTGGTGAATTAAAAAATGCGCATCCACTGATTTATTATAGAGGAGGACATAGTTGGGGCACTCGATAAAGGAAAAAAAAAGCACAAATTAGCAATTCATGGCTAAGTTTCCATTTGCCGCATTAGCAAGTTTCATCAAGCTGTTCCTTCAACAATAAATCAGAAGAGGCTTGTCAAAAGCAAAATCACTCCAGAGCAGGCAGGAAGGATGTCAGCAAATGCTATGCAGGATGCTCTACAGAAAATGGAGTGGGATTTAATGTCAAGGCATCATGTCGTATAGTGTAAACCCAACACTTCCGGATGGACTGCAGGACTCAATGCTCATGTTTCACATCAATAGAATGTCAGACCTTGTCAGAAATAAATGCACAGTCTGTCAGTCCCTCCAGCAATCGTGGCAATCTCCAGATGGTAAGAAACAATGCTGCCATAAGCTGAACCTTAGCTACATTTGAGTAACAATGTGCTATTGATGCACCCAGTGGCAAAACTCAGATTAACTTATGGATGTGGAGCAGCAATTTGTTCAACCACCATGTCATTTCTAGATATTCTCCAATACTACAGTTTCCCAGTCTTAGTTCTGGAGTATACCTGCCCACACATTTCTGTGTTTTCCCTGTTCTAACATGTATAATCCAACGAAGTAAGCATATTGAAGCAGAAATAATGCTAAAATTTGCAAGATAAGTGTACTCCAGGACCAGAGCTGGGTACCTGGGCTGGTATGCAGTCAGATTTATGATAGTCATTATCACAAAAACTGAATCTAGATTAGCACTCTAATGCTTTGTGAATGCAGACCCTGTTCTACATGTAGTCTTAAAATTAAAGGTTCCTCAAAAAGTTATTGGCTTGTCCATAGACTTCCAGTAAAAACCTTTCATTAGCATAGAACCTTGTTTTTTTATGGAAGCAAAATTGGGACACCCTATTTGGAATCCTTATTTGTGCATTTTGCATTTTGAACTGGTTCAACAGCAGTGACAAAGTGGTAGGTGGCCGGCCTGGATTGTCTTTGGTTTTCTACAGCAAAATGTGACCATTTCTAGTCCACATCTCTATCTCCCTACACTCTCTTCAGAAGTGCTAGCGTTGTGCTATTTCAGTCTTCCAGAGTGGTGCATGAGGCCTGCATGTCAGTGGGTCACCGGTGTATCTCCCATCCGGCTGAGCGGGAGCCAAAGCCTGGGCCTGCTCCAGTCACTAAGAGGGTGCTGTTTAATTACAGAGACGGGGAAGGGAGAAGTGAGGGCTGAAGGGGGGCGAGCGAGAGGGTAAGTGGGGGTCCTCGTGATGGATCTCATCGGGTGGGGTGTCAGCGTGGCCATCCGTTGTTGGATCTGGGTAATTAAATCACGTGCAGGGTATGTGGGTCAGCTTATTATTAGAGCGAGCATGAACATGCTGTAGTCTAAACAAGTGCAATGATGACATTCTGCAGTTCGGGCTCACTGTACACAGAAGAGGTGCGTTTCAAGGGCAGATTTTGCTTTAGCCCCTGCAACAGCACTGTCTTTGAGGCTCGCTCTGACCTATTTTAGACCTTGGCCTTTTTTGGCTGAAAATGTGGGGCTACTTGGGGCTCTGCAGTTGTTGTTGTTGTTGCTGCTGATGCTGTATTTGAGGTCCATCAGCATTGTATAGGAATAACTGCAGCACTGAGATTCTTATGTTATCTATATACAGCTAATGTCTTAGAATAAATGAACAGCTAACATGTTGCTGGAGTGACTGTAGTGTTACTTCAGACACGCGCTTAACCATTTGCATCCCAGTGTCCACAGATAGACAAGGGACCCCTCTTTTGCACTCTATAATAAAAGAGATTAAAGGCTAATAGCATATAAGCTAATGGCAGCCTTCGCTCCACATTCCTCCACTTTGGCTTTCCAGTTTTGTTACATAAAGAGAGCCTTAATTATACTGCAGGCTAGGCGCTTCCTCTCGAGGCCTGAGGGCTAGAGAGTTCTGGGCCTTCAGAGAGAGAGGCAGGGTGGAGCAAGTATTCTTCTACTTTCGGCCTCGTCTGTTATTCCCCGCTGTCTTTATTTGTTTCCCACCCCTGCCGTCCACCTCTGCTCCTGTTCTCAGCCCTGTGTTGTCTTTGGCTTGCCGCAGGCTGAGGCTCAAATCAGAAAGGCTGAGAGAAACATGGAGGGAACGTCAAAACAGCTGGGATAGAGCTGTCCAAGTTCTCCTGGCCGCCACAGAATAACACAATAGCTGCTCTCTGGTTTTAAAGGACTAACTGCTAACATCACAAACAATGAATGGAAGCTAGTGGCCACAAATTAGCACAGCTGTTTGCATAATGCAAATAGGTGGCTATTTACTTTCATTCATTGTTAGCAAGAGACTGAACTAATTCTATTAAGACTGAGCTATTCCTTTAAACAGCTGGTTGTAATGTGCTGGGTGAGCGGGAAAGTTCTTGCTGGAGAGCAGTGAAGAAGTGTCAGGTTCTCTCACACTGCTTGGGCCCCTTGTCGTGGGGTGTAAGGATATTTGCTCGGCACATGCTCAACTTCTGCTGCCTACGTCCTACACATGTGTGCGACACTGCTGGTTCTCGACTCTGAGAGTTTCTACATAGAAAACAGTACAAAGTAGGCTTGTTCTCCAAGTAGAGTTTCTACGTGGAGCACAAGCCATCTAAACACACCTTTGCGTGTTGCATGCATCAAATGAATTCATTTTCTATGAAGGATTTTTTCTGTATTTTCATTTCTTGTACTATCAGAATAGTAATTCTGACATGTAATCATATAATTCAGTCTTGCAAAAGTCATTATATACCGAAGACAGTATAACATAATTCAAATGTCAGCCCAGTAGTACCATGTCAGAGTATTATTATTATCAATATTATTATTAATATTGTTATTATTATCATTATATTAGAATATTAGCACAGCATTCACAACTGACTATTAGCAAATCAGCCTCATTAACCTGCAATGTTTTTTTTCTTTTACCTGTTTAGGTATCTTCTGCAGGTTAATCCCTCTCTGTTCTTCTCACGCAGTGGCTTGCGTCCTGAAAAGCTACTGTCCCAAATTGTAGACAACTTCTGGGTGGTGTAATGGGTCGCAGTCCCAGTCTTCTCTCTTCTCTTGCGCTCTCTCTCTCTCTGTCTCTCTCTCACCCTTTTTCTGTCTCTCAGCCCTCGAGGGTACGTTTCTCGCAGGCGGGACGTCTGCCGGACAGCTGTTTTAGAATTCCTCTGTAGAGCTGTGCACAGCTCCTCTCCACTCCGTTCTGCTGGGGCAGAAATCTCCTCCTCCTCCTCCTCCTCCTCCTCCTCTCTCTCTCTTTCTCTCTTCCTTTCGCACCTGCCCCTGTCTGTCTGTCTGAGTGTCAGCTCTGCTGAAATCCCTTTGCCTCGATCAGCCTCTCTCCTGCAGGATCTCAGGACCTGGCTGAGTTGCCGCTGTCTCTGGGCTAGATGCCTTTGACTGTGAGGAGCTATGTGTGTGTGTTTGTGTGCATGTGTGTGAGAGTGTGTGTGAAGCATGAGATGGAGATAGAGAAGCTCTGCCAGCACTGCTACACTCCACGTCCTTCCCTTTCCAAAACACACTGCTGTTTTGCTGTTTAAACAGCAAAAATACAGCATTTCTATCCACCCTCCCCTACTCTTCTTCTACCTCTTTCTCCTCCTCTCACTCCTTTTCTCTACAGTTTCATTTAAACATCACTGTAAATCTAACAGAAGTCAGTCTCTCAATGTTAACAGTGTTTTGCACACTCTCGTCCTCTCTCTCTTTTGTATACTCACTCTCTCTCCTTCGCCCACTGTCTCTCTCTCTTTCTCTCCCCAAAATACACCCTCACACCAACTTTCTTTTTTTTTAACCCCACATTCTCCCTTTCATAGCCCTTCTTATGTTCTCATCTCCTTGATTCATCCTGATTAATTGCTTTAGAGAGTGAGAGAGAGGGAGAGAGAGGGGGAGAGAGAGAGCAGGCACTTGACAAATAGCACAGCAGAACCCATTTAAAGCATCTGTGAGAGATGCAACACAGCCTTGCCGGAATCATTACAACAGATAACATCTCTCTTCACTGACGCTGCAAGACAGTTATGAATTACCTTTCGGACAGCATACAAAAAGACAAGGTGCAATAACACTCCATGAAGCTCTTGTGGTGGGAAGACCATCAGTTTTACAGCCTTTACTTTACAGTGTTTTACTGAAAGTGCAAACATATTGGTGTGTGTGTGCTGTAACTCTGAATTGCATGCTGTAGAAAAGCTGCTCGGCAGAGCTGCTGAATTCTCATAGCTTCACACATTTTCCCCAGTGCAGGTTTCCTTGGCAACAATTGCGGTTCTGCAGTGATGTCACATTATGGGGGAAGAGAGGAAAGAGAGGAGAGCGAAGCAGCTCCTACCTGCATGTCTGATTTTGTGTGTGTGTGTGTGTGTGTGTGCATGCATGCATATGTGTGTCTGTGTGCGAGACTGCATGCATGTGTGCAGGTGATTGTGCAGTTTGAAACGTGAGTTTAAAGGGAATTCCACTGATGAATTTCGGCATAATTAAATGGTTAAGATGTGTCATTCAGAGTGGTTTGATGTGAAATGCTCTGTTCTAGAGAAACCTACCAAGAATTGTTCACAATGGTGATGATAGGAACCTGACTTCTGAAGCATCTGAAGCCATCTAAATGTGAACATTATGAAAAATTTCAAAAACATCTTAAACAGGTGATGCAATCATGCTTGGATGCAAAAGGAGCATTCTGAAAAGATTTACTCCTTCATGAACAATGATGGGTCGAGAGTTGCCACTTTGCCAAAAAATGTGTCAGATAATAATCCAACCATTTAAGAACAGTGTTCCTCAACAAGAGATCAGCATAAACATGTGGTGTTTCACCCTCTACAGTGCATTATAAAATCAAAATATTAAGGGAATTCAGAGAAATCTTCATGTATAATGTCCATGCTTCCAGGACAGATTTCACCATATTGAGAATATCATGACAAGCCTTTGTCAATAAACACTGCTCATCGCTGCATCCACAAATGGAATGTCATATGTCAACAATTTCCAGAAACACTCCCGACTTCTCTGGGCTTGAGCTCATCTGAAATGGACTGATGGACAGTAGAACCTTTCAGATTATTCATGGAAATAATGGATGTTGTGTTCTCTAGGCCAAAAAGGTAAAGGACTATCCAGATTGTTACCAGTGTACAGTTCAAAAGCTAGGGTCTATAGTATAGGGAATCGTGCCTATGGCATGGGTAATTGGCACATCTGTAAAGGCACTATTAACACTAAAATATATATACACATATGTTGCCTTCTAGATGATGTCTCTTTCAGGGATGTCAGTGCTTATTTAACCTCTTAAATGGCAAGGGCCAACAGTTAATTACACAGTTCTGTAAGAATAGCTCGACTAGTTTGCATTGATGACCCTGTAGTTGCTGAATAATAAGCCTTAGTATGTAATAAGCCTGGGATTTTAAGATGTTAAACATGATGCCAAGCCACATTCTGCATGCATTATAACATCATGGCTGCATAATCACAGAAGGAGGGTGCTGTACTGGCCAGGCTGCCTCCTATTGTGCCCCAATATGAAGTGCAATATATAGCAAAGACTTGTATAATGGAGAATGGCAAAAAAAAAACTTTCAGAACTTCCCCAAATGATTATTAAGTGTTGTTAAAGGGAAAGGTACAGTAATACAGTGGTAAACATGTACCTGTCCCAACTTTTTTGGAGCATGTTGCAGGCGTCAAAATTGGTAAAAGCGTATATTTACCAAAAAAAAATAATAATTTCATGAGGTAATCCACCAAATGTCATGTTTTTGTATTTTCAACTGAATACAGCTAAACAGAAGTTACTAATCATTGCTTTTGTTTCTTTTAGCATTTAACATACTGTCCCAACTTTTCTGTAATTGAGGCTTGTAAATTGTGTATATTTCTGTTGAATACATCTCAACCTCTAGTATCTGTCACATCACGGTTGGAAAGTTGTTCTTCAAAGCCCCATTTCTCATCAAAACACTCTGGATGGCTTTTTTCACATTGCAATAATTGAATTACACTGAAATTTTGGTGGAATACCACTTTTTGTTTCTGTGTGTGTATATGAAAGGTTGTTTATGTGCAGGCAGCCTCTGGCGTGTTCTTGCAGGTCCATTTAAAGCTCTATGTTCAGTCACTGCTGTGTCAGCATATGACAGTCAGCTCCCAGTTCATGAAAAAACATAAATCTGCTGCTCTTCCAGTCAACTGACTCCTCACACACTCACACACTTCATAATCCATTTACAGCCCACTCTGCAAAACATTTCAGTGTGTAATGGATGGAAGTGGCGAGGCTGAGTGTGTGTCGTTGTTCTTGTTGCTGGTGGGCTAAAGTTGAACCACTCACTAATTAAGTTAAAGTACTATCATTTGGCAACATCTAAACAGGCCTTCTGAAAGGAAGCTTTGGGCATGGTAAGGGGGGTGAACTTGCTAGGGGTGATCTCACTGAGCCATGCATGTGGACAGCACATGGTCTTGGGAAGAATACGACACAATGTCTGTGAACGGTAAATATGTTTAAGGCCTGGCAGTACACACCAAGAACAACGTTTCCCAGAAAAAAAGGCTGCTGTTTGAAATGATATCAACTGTCTGATTTAAACATGTCATTCTGTTCAGCTTTACTGTATCTACTGAAACCGTTTATGACATGAACCTCTTTGATTCAGTCCAGCTCTTCAGCAGAAGCAATGGCCACAAATATACAATGAAATACTGTTCAAACTTATGAGGAGCAGCCAGGAATCTCTCTGTCATCCAAGGCTGGCGTTGCTTGTTTTCATCACATCAAAAAAGACGTGTTTCAGCTCTCAGAGGTCCGAGTGGAGTTTTGGAAATTCTCCGGTGTTATTGAAGGAATTACTCCATTTTCCCAGTTTCAAATAAGCTTGTTTTGGCGGCCTGTGGAGAACAAGTGGACCTTGTGAACATGCGGTCTGCCTTCCCAGAATGCACTGTGTTGACTAACTGCTGCCACTGGCGGTCTTTAACTGTCAGTCACTCGTGGTATTAGGCAGACACTGAGCTCTTAGTCTTTTTTGCTGTTACTGCAGTTGTTGTGTACATGTATTTAAAAACTAAGCCTATTTTCTACTTCTAAAGATTAATTTTGACTGCAGCCAAGAGTTTCACATTGTAAAACTAGTCTGTCATGCATTCTATAACATGGGCAAAGTCTCAGCTCTAGCTTTGATCTGGGTGCGGTAGGAATTCAGACAGATCCTCTGAATGTTCTTTTCTGTCTAACTAGCACTCCTCTTTTTGTCATAGGCACTCTCTCTTTCTGTTTTATTGCCTTTTATAAGAGGAATGAAACTAAAACAGTAGGGAGATATGCCGGATGAAACAGGACTTCTAAAGATGGTAATTTAACAACATAAGCCCTAGGGATTAGTTTTACCTCTGCACTAGAACATTATGCATAACAAATAATAACAAATAAAAACTTTGTCACATGTAGGTAATGTAATTTGCTATTAATATTCTATCATGGAACAGTTTGCTGGAACAAGTAACTGAAATATATTGCATTCCAACAAGAAAATAGATTTTACAAAACCAAACACCTGTGTGGTAAATAATTCCATTTACCGTCAGTCATATTCTTATGAAACCATACATAATTATTCATATACTGAGCTACTGACCAATATGGATCCTTCTCTGTGTTCTTCTGAGCACATTTTGTCAATGCTATGAAATGAATTGTTAATATATTTAGTAAAAAACATTGAGCTCCTCCACAGGCAAACAGAAGAGAGCACTTGCAAGTAACAGATGGGTGATACTGGCATTCTCCTTCTTTCTTTGTTTTGTTTTTTGTATTTTCTTGCTAAAATTCCAAATTTAGTGTCTTCACTTACACCTGTTAGAACACCACCATCCACCTCACCTCTCCAACAGGCAGTGTGTGTGTGTGTGTGTGTGTGTGTGTGTGTGTGTGTGTGAACAAAGTGTCATCTCATTAGCACCAGCGTTCTCTTCTCCTGCAGTGTTAGCATGCCGAGAGCACACCACCCTCAAAGGACTCACACGAAACGTGTAGAGAGAGGCAAGTCAGTGAAAGTGAAATGGAGCATCACCATGTTCTGTAGCGAATGGAGTTCTTAATCTGGCTGAGGGGAGGTTTTGAATGATGGCTCATTCCTCTGCATTGTGTTTACATGTTCATTAAGTTAATGTCCTGGTGCAAAATGTTCTCTCTGTCTTCTGCGTTTGCTGTTTACAAATCCTCTCTAGTGCCGGATATTACAAGCTCAGTTGCTGAGAGTTCCAGCTGTCCTTATCACTAAGTCCAAAAGGGCTTCCTAGAATGAAGCCCCCTTAATATGCAAATAAATCTCCAGCTAACAGCTGACACGGGCACAGTGCTGTCCTACTGCACTTGGAAAATGCAGCTAAATTAAGCCAGGCTGGTAGGCCACAGCTCTGTGGGGAAGGGGAATGTTGCTGTCCTTAGAGCCATTGAGGCACTGTTTTTCTGGAGGATAATGGACTATGCCCTCTGGAAGCTCATAAAGGGGCCCATATCCTAGATATTTTATTGTATTCTTTTCCTGAGGTCCACTAATGACATTTGTGTGGTTTTGTGCAGCAGAAACTTTCAAAACTAATTTTTACACAAGCATTTCCAACCTTCCTTTCCACCTTTGAATTGAAAATGTTGTTGTTACTAGTTTAATGACCTCTGTTCTAGGGATCAGCATTCCGACTGAT